GAAGCTGCTTAGGAGCCAGTGTTAGATTTTAAATAGGAGAGGAAGGAAGGAGCAGATAGGCCTAGCGCTAGATGTTGCTCACAGGAGGGAACAGGGAACATATCAAGCTTTTGAGCTGCAGGGGATTGTGCTTTCTTCCCTTCCCGTGTAAGCCCAGCAACGCCCTCTCCTATGTGAATACTAGTGTAGACGCAGGGGCCGCTCCTCTCCTTCCCTCATAGGCCTCTAAAGGAGCAGGGAGTCCCGAGGTGTAGCTTGAGAAGCAGCTCCTTTGACTACCAGCCAGCAGCCAGTATCCTGCAAACTACCACCTGATAGACTGAGCATTGGGCTGGAGAGCCTGAAGTAGCTCTAGTGTAGGAGAGTTCGTAATGCAGTAATAGTCAGAACTCTGGTTGTAGGGCTGCAGCCTTTGCTGGTTGCCTGGTTTCAGGGACTTTCCAAGTGGCTCAGTCCACCTCTCACTGTATTCATGTGTGTGTGTGTCGTGGTCTTGTCAACCAGTACTGTCTTCTCAGGACCTTAAGTGCTTCTATCCTCACGGGTATTTTTGTAGGAGGAGTGGCAATAAATTCTCTCTCCCTGTTTGGGTATTAGTTTTGGGAAGTGGTAGGTTTGTGGTAGGTTTATAGCAACAGTTCTCAACCAGGGGTCCATGGCCCCTTGTGGGGGGGCTGCGAGCAGGTTTCAGGGAGTCTTCCAAAATAACCCAGAGAGCAGGGCCTGCATTAGACTTGCTGGAGCCCAAGGGAGAAAGCTGAATCCAGAGCACCATTGTTTAGAGAAGAAGTCAAAGCCCAAGCCCCACTTCCCTGGGCTGAAGATGAAGCCTGATCAATGTAGCTTTTGCAGGGCCCCCTGTGGCATAAGACTCTGGGTAATTGCTTTGCTTGCTACCCTCTAACGCCTGCTCTGGTGTTTAATGTACTTAAAAACAGATACGGCACAGGTGGGCCATGGAATTTTTATAGCATGTTGGGGGTGTGGGGTCTCAGAAGGAAAACCTTTGGTTTATAGTACATTGCTGTCATTCCTATTTTTCTGAAAGTGGAGATTCCTTCCTGTCGGGCCCAGGAAGCTCTAACTTGAGGGTGCAAGGTAGAGCCTGATGATGCAATAAGCCCACTTCTGTGTGAGAATTGTTAAATAACTTCTACTTGTATCCCATGGACTAGGGCTTCCTTCCTCTCAAAGCTATAGGGATCTGCCACTTAAATAAACAACGCCAGTAAATTTATCTGACCAGTTTTTGGCCAAAGAAAAGAGGGAGATTATTTAAAGCCATCTTTATGCTCCTTGGAGTCAGTTTAGCTCTTAGGAGAAATAAAAGCAGCTACTCTAATAGCCTGCTAGAGCTGTTCGCTGGCCCGGTGCAACTGGAGCTAGATGCTCCCTCAGCACATTCTTCCCCACTCCCAGCATGCTCCCTTATGTGAGCCTGGAAAGGGGGGAGACATGCAGGTTATAGTAAGCCTGCAAAGGATTCTCTTTCGTGGCTTTGATCTCAAGATGCTTTGTTGGGACATCTGTACGGCCACTGTGTACTGAATAAAAGCCCAATGTGGAAATGTGGAGTACTATGGGTTGAGGCATCCTCAAAACTATGACACGGATTTGAGAGGAGAGGGGATAAAACCATAGCAGAGAGGAAAGGGGGATACAATCACAAGTACAGGCAGTCCCCGAGTTACGCGGGTCAGACTTATGTCGGATCCGCACTTATGAACGGGGCTTTCTCGCCCCGGAGCTCGCAGGCAGCGGGACCGCCCAGAGCGCAGCGGTCCCGCCACCTCGACCTCCGGGACGAGAAAAGCTGCTCCGGGTGCCCCTGGTCTGCTGGGGACCGTCTCCAGCAGACCAGGGACACCGGGAGCAAAGCCTCAGAGGCGCGGCACCCCGCCGCCGCTTTGCTCCCGGTGCCTCTGGTCTGCTGGGGGGGGGGGGCGCCGGTA